AGTCTCGTGCTAGTCTCGAAGTGGTTCCGTGCACTCGGTGTGGAGTGGACAACGGTTCAGCGACCGCTTTGTGTGCAATTGCTTCGCCAAATACAGCGTGCTTGTGTTTGCCTGTGAAAGAGTGTGGTCTGGCTCCGTTGATGAAACGTGGCTCCCATCCACATGCCTCTCGGTCTTATTCCTCCGGGTTTACACTGGATATGGGGTGTGTGGATGGAGTTGTGGGTGGTGCAGCGCAAGCCATCCATGGTCCCTCTATAGGCGCAGGGGTCCTGTGGCTGGCCACAGTGACAGGCAAATCCGAAACCGGATACCGCCAACCATATGGTTGATCCCGTAACGCCTCCCTCGTTCCAACTTACGCATTCTGGGATGCTGATTTATAGATTGTCTTTCAATTTCTCACTTTTCTCATTTCACTTTGCCATGTTTGTTTTGTTACCTGAACCACACAGTTGGTTTTGTTTCGCTGCTTCGCACAAAACGTTATCTTTCGTTTGCACGTACATCCAAATTTTACCACACGTCACTGTTCAACAACAATCTATTTTCCCGCTTGCTATTTTATGACCTCACATCATCAGACCATTGCGACAGTGTTTTTTCTTTGCCTACTTTTCTCCATTCATCAGTCACATCGTGTGAACGAAACACTACCCACTTCTACTAATGTCACTTCAATGACACTGGCGACGAAACAGCCTCCAGTTGCTGTGTACACCAACATCGATTCAGTGAGGCGACACTTGACAGATCCACGATTCACTTGTGTGGACCTGCGTGAGGATGCAGATATACTGTGGATTTACGAGCATTTCAAAGACTTCTTGTAAGTTTACATTCTTTAAACCACCACTTTTGCATTGCATCCTCAGTTACATTCTGTATTGGGGTCACTTTCGGCATGAGACTTGTGCGGCATAATTACTTTTAGACTGCATTTTTGGCGCTTGTTGATGACATCCTACAACCTGATCTTTACCGCGTTATGGGGTAATGTTGTCTTGCATTTGAAGAGCTATGCCTTTCAATACTTCCGATTTTACCCCATACTCCTCCAATTCTACTTGCATTATCATCCACACTGATCACTTCTTTCCTTTTTTCACGCTCCGCTTTTACAGCAACTTATCTCGGAGCTCTCGCTTGCAGTTCGTCAATCAATTTCCAGGCGAGCAAGTGATCACCGTGAAGGACATGCTCGCCTCTGTTGCCAGCCTCCGAACGCTTACTCGAGTTGACGATGACCATTTTTGTTGCGTGGATGAAGTGGATCGCAAACTTACCTGCCATTGGTACCCGGTCACATTCAACCTTGTGTACGAGCTGCCAGCCTTTGTAGCCTATTTTCAAAAGAAGCAGGTATGCTTATCACTCATTCATTAGGTCTGTCTGGAATTCCCATACTTTTTGATTACTCGGCTTACCTTGTCAGCAACTCTGGTTCCACCGTTCTTTTTATACAACCAGCAACTTTACTCTACCCCTCGCTTTACCTCATCCAATTTTGTCACAAAGCATTCATTTCATAACTCTGTGAGTGCTTTGTGTGCTATCTCTGTGGCTTGCGGCACAGTCGTTGCACAGAGTGTGTAACAAGTACCAAACACGTGGGAGTTTTTCAGGTTCATTTCAAGCCCGCATTCCCCAATGGTAGACATCCAACTTGATGCTATTGAATCCCTGGAATATATATTCCACACAACTACCACACACGCACAACCACCATCTTGCATATAGTTTTGTGTTAACCAGATTCCGGTGTGATTCGAAATTGACATGAGCATTGTAGTTGTGTTGTGCGACGAACGAACTTGATCACGAAGATTAGCGCTGACGGGCCGCTCCAAGCTTGCTGGTTGTCACTGGTGTTGTGTACGTACACGGGTTGTGAAGTGAGACTGTTGCAGGACTTTGAACTATTATATGTAGGGACTACGACCCGAGAAACCATATACATTTCACAGCGAAGTGGTCCAAGCTTACTTTGCCGCTACTGGATCAATCAAATTCCGGTATTACAGCTAAGCCAACTTTCCTTACCATCGGAGAGATAAACACCCGTCCAGCAACAGGCACCAGTTTTTGACACCAAAAGTAGGAAAGCTAACCGATGGACAATTATGTCTCCTACGGTGGTCACACCACTGGGGAAGTTACTTCGCTTACCAGCAAAACCCTTGTGGCTTTCCAAAGACTTAACCTTGTATGCAGACGGCGGAATATCAGCCTATCAGTGACACGTAATTTGTACAATGCTGCGATGAGGACGATGCTAATGCATGGATCACAGACCTGAGCAGTTTATGACGAAGCCATCAAACGCTTGGCCGTGTTTGACCACCGGTGCTTGCGGAGTGTTTCCCACATCTGGTGGGAACACCGGGTATGCAATGTTGTGGTCCACCAGTTGTATTTTTTGCAAGAGGCCTGATGCTACAATCGAATGTTTGCCGAATCTTAATTGCTTACATTTGCTAGACCATGTCCTCTGTACACCTGTTGACCAGCTTCCTTCGCGTGCATTATACGCCGTGGCTGCTCCAAGCTGGGTGAAACCGCGAAGTGGCCAGTCCATGACGTGGCATTATGGGATGAAGAAATTATCTGAGAGACTTGGTCATGCTGCTGCGTGCCGTCTTCGTAGATGGGGGCCGCGGGATGGTCCACACCAGTGGTTGGAGACCGTAGCAAACATGGCGCAATCAGTAGCGTTCCCGCATTCGGTTTCTTGCACCTGGTCGTCAATTTTCGTTCCACTTTAATTAGTTTAACGCACCTCTATTTTGTTTCCATTTTCTTTATATTCTATTTGCGCTCCACCCCATTATCACTATTTGTTGTGGTACTGGTGGTCTAAATCGTGACCAACTGGATCCACCGCACTACATTGCCCGGCTCATAGTGTTGTTCAACTGAACTAAACAGAGCTCAACAAGTTAATATCTGCATTCCACCCGACACACGATCACGATTTACCACAGCTCGGTCGCTGCGGGTAGAGGATGAAGTGAATCTTGAATATCTTCGGCGTCATAGAGCGGATACTGTTTTTGGATTGGGCTACATTAATTGTTTCACTATTCAATCCTGATAGATCGATTCGCATCAGCGGTAATTACAAATTTTACCACCAATTGCAGTGTTTCAGCTAAACGGATCCTATTCCAAACATGAGGACGTTTACGCCAAGATCGACACCAGCTGATATTTTTCAGTCTTAGACATTTATGTACGCACATCAGCAGCTCGAAATAGATGTAAACGACAAAACAGTACCCACAAGCGTTCGACATTTACTAGGCCCGTCCATCTTCCAATGGGCGATAACAAGCCTGCCTAAAGCTTCCGTGTGTCTAGACGATATCCCGCTTACGGGGGCAACAATTGACGAACGTTTACAAACTGTGAATTGTTCTGGACTGTCTAAACTAAAATGGTTTGAGGCTGAAACGTCGTCAAAAATGCCTATTCTTGACACCATGTTGATTATTTTGCTTTTCGTATCAGTGCGAAGGGATTGAACACGATTGAGGAGGAAATTCGCCTCATTGTTGGGGCACTGCAACCACAGAATCTACACGAGTTGAGGTCATCCTTGAAAATGTACAATCACTACTCAAGTTTTGTTCCACGATCAACCACAGTGCTACACCCTTTGCGTCGTTTGTTACGCAGTGGCGCTCAGTGAGTTAGTATGAGGCCGAGGAATTCGCTTTTCACCAGTCTAATAGTAGGTTTGCCAGCGCGCCGGTTTCGGCCCAATTTTACCCCCAATGTCACATGCGGTTGCAATGTGATGCATTACCTTACGCGGTCGGAGCCGCCTTGTTACAGACGGACGCGAGAGGAGTAAACAGGCAGGTTGCATTTGCCTCTTTGACCATATGTTAGGCCGAGCGAAATTACGCCCAAATTGATAAGGAGGCTTTGACAGTCGTATTTGGGGTTTTCCGTGTTCACCGATACCTATTCGGGCACACGTTTGATGTGTACGTAGGCCGCAAGTGACTTCTGAGAATTCTAAACTAATCAAAAGCGACACGCCAAATGAAACCGCCTGCTATGCTCTGCAGAGTTCTATTACTGTCCGGCTACCAGTATCATTTAAAATATTCTCGTGGCAAGAAAAATCAGTTCGGAATGATTTGGAATATTGGTAGCTCGGGAGGCTTGCTCACTTGTTGTGGAGTTCTCCGAGCTGGGCAGCTTGGTTGCAGAGGTTTCGCCACCATTCGAAGTGACATCTTCAGTGCGGGATTGATAGCAGTTAAGTAGCAGTAGCTGGTAGAAAGCAAACCCAATAATGGATCCATTATTGGGTCCACAGAGGTCAACGTGTATTCTGTCCCAGCAGCAAGAAAGCCACTGCCATGAAGTCATTGGCAGATGGTGGGGATGGTGTATTCCATCTGACTGATTGCGCGCCATCAGATATAGTCATGTGCTAATGCCTTCTGTTAATTTCCTTGATGACCCATATGGTGGTTCCCGTATTAGTGCTTGACTATGCCGTTTGGGGACGATGACTCGAGATCCTCGGATCCATTATTGGGTTTGCTTTCTACCAGCTACTGCTACTTAACTGCTATCAATCCCGCACCGAAGATGCCACCTCGAATGGTGGCGAAATGTCTGCAACGAAGTTGCCCAGCTCGGAGAACTCCACAACAACTGAAGAAAAATCAGTATGCCGACTTTCTCAGCCGACTTCTGTTACCGGAAGTTCAGAGCCACACACAGCTTTGAGGGAACTGGTGCACATGATATCTTGGTTGGATGATTCGCTATTAATGGCAACGGAGATAAACTTGAAAACACAGTGTGACTCTGAACTGTCGAAAGTGCCGGATTATATCCGAACTGCTTGGCCTGATAGGATAAACGTGTAGCTAAGACAACTTCCCAGTCACCTGACTGAAATGAGCCTTTAGCATGGTTGCATGCATTAAGGATCTCGAGTCATCGTCCCCAAACGGCATAGTCAAGCACTAATACGGGAACCACCATATGGGTCGTCAAGGAAATTAACAGAAGGCATTAGCACATGACTGTCTGATGGCGCGCAATCAGTCAGATGGAATACACCATCCCCACCATCTGCCAATGACTTCATGGCAGTGGCTTTCTTGCTGCTGAGACAGAATACATGTTGACCTCTGTGGACCCATCGACGGCTCTGTAATGCTCATTATATTGGACTCACATTCCAAATGGATCGACCACTATGCACATCTTAAGGAATATCGCTACGCATGGTGTACCATGTGCAGTTGTCTCAGATAGCGGCCCGACATTTATCAGCAACGAGTTCCGACAATTCTTGCGCCAAAATGGAATGGAGCGGGTTCACTTGGTACATACCAACGGTCTGACCGACATTCAATCAGGGCGTGGCCAAATAACAGTCGAACTTTAACCACCCATTACCGTACCGCATCACATCACACACTACCACAGATCATCCACTTGTGAACTAATGGGGCGACGATTGCGCGCTCAATTGAATCTGATTAAACCCGATCTGCATAGAACAGTCAGTAAACGCTAGTCTTCAATGGATCGACGTACGACATGCGAACAAAGGATCACATGATTGCACCAAACGACAGTGTATCTTAAACTGTGACTAACAGCTAAAACGCATTTGGTTAGTTACGAGATCAAAGTTTTAGTGCAGTGGCGTCATTTGGTAGACGGGTGGATACTTGACCAAGTACAACGACACCCTGTGAGTTCTTAAGACGAACTAACAACTTTCCCATCGCCTGCGTCCCTAAGAATATCACCGGGAGCATTGCAAAGTTAGGGCGACGCTTCGACACCTATAAAGCCAAGGCGGTCACTTCGTAGGAAGCGCAGCCTAGAACGCTATCACGATGGATGTACTTAATGTAACCGTGAAAAACTGTTCCGATTGATTATTAATACAGAACCAAGCGGTCAATGTTCACGCACAAGGCGTCAACCCGCGCGTTGGCTACAGTGCGCTTCAGCTTGCTGGCGAGCAAGTGATCAGTTAGCTGCGTGTGAAGGCTACGTGCACAGGTGTGAAACCGCGTTCGCCTATTCTGCCAAATTGGAATCAGGCGAGCATTGATTTGTCTGCGAATTCAAACCGGTGTCCGGGATTTGAGCACAGTGGTACACGGTGGCGAACGATTCTGCCAAATATGGCTAACCAGGGGAACGGAACTCGCTCACATAGATTGCAGGACAGACTCCAAAGATCGGGTGACCATGCTTTTCAAAATTAGTATGTATGCTTCATCAATAAGTACTGTTCATTGGTAATCTTAAATGTCGCCGTATAGCTTCTAAGTGCTGTGTCGCTATGCGGAAACTCCTAGCTAGTGGGGCTAACTTCTATCGTATGCAGTGGAAGA